GTCCTGTGTATGCCTTTGGTTCTATCAGGAACATGCTGGATGCTTCTTCCTGAGACTGTGGCCGTGGTGAGAGCCTCGTTCCTAATATGCACGTGGGAGAGGGGACAGCTCAGAAACCCCCACATCTCCACACTCAGGAGGTTCCAGCTGCATCATACGTCACAGAATGGAGGCCTATGAAGATACGTACTTAAAAAATGTTTAACACTTTAAATAGTTACCATCATTAGAACTTAGGGAGATATCAAATGAAAGTATATTTCAGGTTTCTCTTGAAAAATCGCAATATCTGGTATCACTGGTCTCCCAGGATGACAGTGGACTAGAGCTAAGGAGTGAAGTGGGGTCGGACGGGGGGTTTAGACAAGGCTTGAGCTTGTTCCCCAAGTTTAGCACAGCCTCTCTCCAGCCATCCTCACTCACTGATTTCCTAGCCCCACCTTCTATCACCTGGTGCTCACTGAACTTTAAACAGCTCCTCCCTGCTCATGGTGGTAAATAAAGTGAGTATTGCTTCAACCTGCCCAGCTACACCCCTCTTATCTGATGTGCTGTAGGTGGCCTGTCAGGTTTACTGTACAAGGGTTGAATAAAGGCCTGCTGTTATGTATGGGACTGATGGTGGGAAGTGGTACAGCCAGGAGTCAGCTGGGAACAAAATGACTTGGAGTTGGTGGGGCCAGAGAACCAAGCTCCTATCAAAGCAGAGGATAGGACTGGCTGCACATCTGGGGTGCACTTGTCTGCACAGGATGGTTATCCAGGGCCCTAGTAGCCTCTTAGACTGAGCTCAAATGTTTTTCTTGCCAGTTCTGTAAGAAATTATATGGAGAGAAAGCCAGAACTCATCAAGCTTACCCTTCTCAGCTTCATCATTTCTTTCTTTTCTGGGAAGGGAGAGCAGGTGGGTATGATTCCACAGTTGGGCAGAATGGAGGTAAGCAAAGTTATTAGAAAATCTTCTTCCTGTCCACTTTGTGTGTGAATGAGCATGTATCCCAGTTTGGTATTAATCCACAAGCAAACAATGGAACCAGCAGGTCCAAACTGCTCTGTGGCCAACAAGATCAATTGTCTGCCAAGGACACCATACATTTCAGCAAGGATGGCAGAGGTCAGACATGAGTTCATTCATTCAGCAGGCTCTTATTGGCTACTTAAAACACTAGGATGGGTTTTCAGCCTGTGAAGTTTTTAAATAAAGGATTGAAAGTCATCTATGGGAGAAAACACAGACTTGCGTGGATAGTGTTAACCGTAGCTATTTTGGAAGGCACTAGTAGGAACTATCACTTTAATAATGGTTTCCTTCCAGTTATCAGAATGCCAGAGTATCCTTAGTCATCTTAGGACCAATTTGGAGCACCTAGGAGAGATGAAGTTAACTTCTACTTAAAACTACAATTCTCATTTATTGCATACTTAAGTGTGAAAAGCACTAATTCTAAGTAGTTCATTGATCTCATTTAAACCTCATAACAAGATTGTGAGACAGAATCTATTCTTAATCCACTTTTACAAGTGGGGAAATGGAGGCCTAGTTGGTGAAGTGACTTGGCCTGGGTTGCACAGCCTGTAGGCAGGTGGTAGAGCTGATGACATTCCTTCAGACAGCCTCACACCAGAGCCTGAGTGCCTCATCTGTTTGCAGCTGCCTCACTACCTTGGACACTGCAAACTTATCAGGCAGGAGTATAATACAAACTAGAAAAGATGATTCTTGTACTTTCCAGCCCCCCAAAACCCTTTCAATTCATCTAATTGAAAATGATGATAATCACTGTGCTAATTTACCCTACAGTGATTGCTAGGATAATGGAGATGATTTAGAATTCAAAAGCTGAAGAAAGGAACAGAAGTCATTTAAACCAACCCCCTAATTTCTGAGACAGGAAAATTGTGGGGCTTGTCCAAACACAGCTGGTTAGGAAGAAGAATCTATACTACCACCCATACATTCTCCCTGCCAGTCCAGAGCTCTCTCTAGTGTTCCATGCTTTGCTGGGTTAGGGTGCTGGCACTGGCCTGGAAGCCAGGAGTCCTATCTTCTCTTACCAAAGTTTGCTAAAGGATTAGATTTCAGATGCACAGAAGTGGGTTTCTTCCTCCTGGGGCTCCTTGTTGAAGCATCATGGACTACTCCACCCAAAGCTTCTTATCAGGAGCCAGGATAGGCTCTTAATCTGCAGCTCCCAGGGCCTTGTCTACCCTCTTAGGGAGGCACATTATCATCCACAAACAGCTGACTGAGCACAGGTCTCCCAGGGCTCAGTCAGGCTGGCACTGTTTACCAACTGGGGAAGCTGGGAACAGAATGACCAACTAAAGCTCAGTCCCTGACACAAGAAGCTACCACTTACAACTCTGGGAACTGGCCCTGTACCTCAGCTGGCTAGGTGGCACTCTCCACCCATGGTGAATCTGGTCAGATCTAATGCAAGAAACATATTCCTTGATCACAGACTCCTTTCATGTAAATTGAGGGACTATTTAGTCTGCCAAGAGCCAAGAGCAACCCCAAGATGAATGTGCCACTCTGCAGTTTCCCTGGCTTGGAGACAGGGATGTGTGATGATGTTATACATCATCTTTAGATGATGCGCTACACATTATCCTCTAGATAAGGTTTGGTGAATTTCAGGCTTTCTTCTAAATGAAATATATCTTCTTAAGTGAGGCCTATTAAGAAACAAGGTAGATGGTGACTTTGTACCAAAAAAGAAAATAGCACTCTTGGATGGGCAAAAATGCAACCTTAACCCTGGGTCCTTACACCCAAAAAAGTGCGTCCTTATCATGCCTAGGACATTTGTATTAGGAGCTACGAATGAAAATTGGAACATTTATTTAAATAATAACCCCTCATCACAAGTGGGTCTCCATACCAATTCTATTTATGATGCAGATAAGCTGGCTTCCCCCATCCACATATTCTGACTCACCTATTCTCCAAGTGCATCAGACAGAGCTTCCAAGGCCCACCTACTACCTAGGATACCTAGGTTAAACTACAAGCTTGTTGAGGAGAGTTGTAGAGGTGTGAAATGAAATGTGCGTTGGGGGGGGTGGATCTCATTGTTCATGAGTCAACATGTTCAAAATGTAAAAACAGCACCTATGGCCAAGAAAATTAAAAAAAAAAGTACTTCAGGTCGAAATTGTACTTGTAATGTCACTGGAAAACTACTGACGTCTGACATCTAATAAGACAAGGCTTATTAGACAAGTGGGCAGCAAAGGGCAGTTCCAGAAAGGACAGGAGAGCCTGTACCAATAATTTCTAACAATTTCTGCCCAACCTGGGAAATGGCTTGGTGTCTCCTGCTCACCACCTCAGTCTGTGAGAAGATAAGGTATGTGTCACAATCACCTTTAATATTTCTAGTGCCCAGAACATATTCTTGCTAAATGAAAGCAGTGAATACAACTAAGGCCTTGCAAGAACAGGATGCATAAGATGGGCCCTGGCTGAATTAAGTGCTTTGCTACTATAACACTGTAAACTGTTAGAATATGCATTAAAGGAAGTAAAGGAGATGCCTCCTGGGGAAGAGGGGATGCTTAGAAATGCCCTTACCACACAACTTAGATTTTTCTTTTATCTAGCCACATGATTTAGGTCTTCAGAGTGCAAATGAAGATACAAAGAGAGGATGTGGATCAGAAAGACACCCAAATTGGCCATGTGGTAATGTTACCTTCTCTGCATCACACACTTCGTCTGCTACAGTTTTATTAAAGTAACAAAAAAGTGTACATTTGTCAATAAAGCTGTACATTCTTCCATATAAAAACACTATTAGACAATTAGTAACCCTTGTCTTTTCTTTCAGAATAGCTTACAAAAGCACTATAATTTTTTTACCTAGTAGAAGAGACAGGCCTGCTCAACAGTCCAGCTCTGGGCATTTTTATTTTTTTAAAGTGAACATCAAAAAGAAGAGAGAAAAGATTAAGCATGAGACCATGAGGCTGTTTCTAAGAAAGCAGGGACCTGTTTGCAGACAAAATGCAACAACATAATCTTCAGTGATTCACAGCTTTGTTTCAACCCACCAGCCAGAAAATAAGCTCCTGTGTCTGTGGGCCTGAAGTTACCTTTAAAGCAATAAACATTGTAAGCAGAGTTTCGGAAAACATCTTGGATCTGGAGAGTTGAAAAGGAGGCCAAACAGGCAGGAATGGGTTGGGAGAGTGTTTGTTAAATAGCACCTCTGAGTCAGAATGAGTAGTTAAGAAAGTCAGGAAAGAGGGAGGGGAGTTTAAGAGTGGTGGTGGGTGGATGGGGAGCGGAGGTTCCTCACTAAAGGGCAATGGCAGGAGGGTAGCCAGATTGACCAGATGTTCTAGCTACTTCCTTTTTAAGGTGGTTCAGGTTTAGGAAACTCAAGGTCTTCTGAGGACCCCTCACTAATGTTACTGAGAAACCAATGGTAGTTTTCCATTTTTTCTCCAACCCAGAACAGTAAATATTGCACAAGTCTACAGACAAATTTGGCCTGAACTCAGAGAGTCAGCAACCTCTCCCAGAGGTGTTCTGAGTACCAGGGAGAAGAAACAATGCCCAATGTTTGGTTTTAGTGTCAGCCCTACAAGAATACCAAGTAGTCCTATAGAATTTGGGGCTTTCTCTCCATCAGCCAAGGGATACCTGAGCAGCCAGCTACGGTTCTGAGGACAGAGAAAGAGATGGCTCCCTCAGCCCACCAGAGCACCAGGAGGTTCTGAGGGCTAGATTTCCACCCCCTTCTGGGACTGGGAAGCCATATTGCACAGTGACTGAGAACTCCTGTCCTAGAAAATAGGGTATCTCCATGACCCAACCAGAGGGAAGAAGTGGGGAGAGTTAGAGAGGACTTTTGTGCTTTTTAAAAGAAGGCAGTAATAAAAGACCTGGTGTTCCCTATAGTTTTTGAGCCACCTCTCAAAGAGATAATGGCAGCAGCATTAGGACTTTCATATGGTTCTAAAAAGGAGGATTTGGGCCCCCCCCCAAAAAAAAGAAAAAAACCCAGTGGATACTCTTTGGATCCTAAAATCCCATTGCAAATCACCCCCAAATTATTCACCACAGTTACACACAAAGCAGCACATTGCAAAGCAACCCCTGCCTTACTCACTCCCCTGACCCCCACAAAAAAATAAGCTTTAGATTCCTGGCTGAGAAGAAACATCTATAGAACCCTGGTGATAGAATTTAGTGATGATTTTAAGAAAAGCTGCAGAAAGAATCACTCTCTGCCCAGGATCTCATCAGAAAAACAAAAGTGAAGATTAGGCAGCATGAGTTAAGTTCCTGAATGTTCCTGAGGTCAGGGATGCAGGTTGGGAGAGTGACAGATGTGAAGTATCCTCCCCCTACCTCCCAGGGCAGATCTTGATCTATCTCATTTCCAGCTGTTAACCTTGCTTGCTCCCTCTCACATCTTCCTGAGGTGCTGGCCAAGCTTCCTTCACCTCACCTTGGTCAGGCCCACCTCTAAACACTCCCCACTCCCATAGGCAGACACTGGCTCCCAGACTGAAGTGCACAAAAGTTGTCTCCAAAGGCACCTGGGGTGGCTGCTTCCAAGCAGCACCCTTTAAGAATTTTTTTTTCTTTAAAAAAATCTTCAGGTGTTTTTTCTCCCTTTTTCTTAAAAAAATAATATATATAAATAGCTCTTCATTTAAAATACAGTTCCCCAGGTTGAGGTATGATTTGGCCTGTTGTCACCGCAGGATGAGTACAGTAGAGTGCCAGGCGAGGGTGGCAGGGGAGCTAACTGGAGACGGCCATCACATAGTTCTTGGAGGGGCTGCTCCTGCCCAGCATCATTTGGTTCTTGCAGGTGAGAAGCCCATAGGAAGTGACCAATGGGGCCTCCTCATACAGGACGCAGATAGAGCCATCCTCCCCTATTCGGTAGGATACCTCGTAAGGGTCCACCCACAGGGTGAGCTCTCTGGGCAGCAGCTGGTGAAGTTGGGGCTGGCTGAGTCCAATCTGGCTGGCCACCTTACTGATGATGGGGTCCATCTTGTGGTTGATGCGGATACAGCGGTAACCAGAGCCCTTGGATGGTTTCTCAGGAAACCAGTGGTGTTTGTAGTGTTCTGTGGAGACAGGTCAAGGGGGAAATGTCTTGGTTAGAGTAGGTGGACCAGGGGTGCTACTACTGCAAAGGAGGAGGGGTGGTGGTGAAGAAATAAAAGAGAGGAAGGGACTCAGTGACTTTAACTCAAAAAGGTGGTTTGTCATGACTTCCAGTTTCACAGCCAGGAAGGCAATCATCATGGCTGGATCCACCATCATTGGATCCACAGCAAATTACTGCACCTCCCACCCTGGGCCCCCGAGTCTCCTTCTACCTCCTTTGAAGTAACAGCCCCTTAGCAACTGGCTAGGTAAGGGGTCAGAAAGGGTTGCTTCAATGAAACATAAGTTGCTCCTCAGAAGACAGAACTTGTGTGGGCACATTCAGAGATGGCTGTCGCTGCACAACAAGACCGACCAAGGGGCTAGAAACAGTTGGGAGACAGGTCTCTCCCCAGCCAGCCGCTGCTTATTTCTTCTCCACCTCCCTGTCTTCCGCAGCCCCCACCCCACGACACACGCTCCTACAGAGCACAGTTACTACCTAAAAGGCTCTCACGGCATCGTGATAGGTGGCAGATGGCTTAGGGGTCTAGACCCAGAATACAAAAGGAGCTGGACTCCAATTTAGAGCAAGTCGTACAGGACAAACGCCGTGCGCACAGCCGGAAGAACCAGGTCTGGGACTCCAGTTGTTGAAAACGCTCGAGCGCACCTTCCTTTCCCAAAAGAGCTCCTCTCGCTGGCCGGGATTTGTCACCCGCAGTGTCTTCGAGAGTCTCAGAGTCCAGTGAGGAAGATGAGCTCCCCCATTCAGACCCGCCGGTACCCCCTCTCTCCGGACATAAGCCGGGGGAATCGGAATCGCACTGCCGCACAAGAGTCTGTGCTCGCTGTGTCCCCCAAGAATAACCACAGGTCAAGACCTGAGCGAGCACAGGACTGGGAAGAGAGAGGTGACCAGGGAGCTGGAGACCTGCGGGCCGCCCCCCGGGCCGGAGGGAAACCGAGACTCGGAGCTGCTCGTTGAGGAGCCGAAGGAGAAGGAGGACAGGTAGGGAGGGAGGGCTGAGCCCGGGTGGCGGGGTGGGAGGGGGCCTGGACCCTTTGGCGTGGGCTCACCTGTTAGTGCCTCCTGGAGAGCCCCGCTGAACACCTTCAGTCTCTCCTCGCTCACGCAGCCTCGGGTCCTCAGGAGGCTGGAGAGGAAGCCGACGGCGGCGGCGATCTCGGGGAGCATGTTTGTCCTCTTCCCGGTCCAGGTGGCCTGGCTCATGTCGTGCTCGGTTCGCCCTGCGGCAGCCGAGAGCTGTGCGAGATCTCTGAAGGTCGTACCCCTCCAAGCAGGATAAGTCCGCTCGGCTGCAGCTGGGGCTTTAAACCGACTGCTCTCCGGTTGCGCCTTTCATACCCTGCGGAGAAGCGGGGTAGCCGGTGGCCTCGCTCATTGGTCGCTGCCAGCCCATGGGGGCAGGTCCGAAACCCGCGCTGCTTCCCCGGGTGCTCACCAGGAACCCGCCCCGCCGCCTCTAAAGCGCTGAGGTCATTGCCGGCTGACGTCAGTGCCGGGAACGTGAGCCCCGCGCTGACGCCGAGAGAGGCGGGGAGAGAAAGGGGAGCCTGGGAGGGGCGAGAGGAGAGCGACGCAGGAGAGCGGTGCTCGGTTTGCTCCGGGCTGGGAATTCCCCGACCTTTCCTCGCTTCCCATCCTTCAAGAATTAGGTTAAAGCCACCTTCTCCAAGAGGCCTTCGCTGATACCCCCGCTCCCACGCGGTCTCCTTTTCTGATTCCCACATTTTCCAACTACACAGTCAGAAGCATTCACTGGGACGCTCATTATTTTACCTTTTTGCCGTGTTTCTTAACAAGTGGGAACGGGTTCTTCCTGGCTCTTCGGAAATTGGACTGCCTTCTGTTTACATCCACAATCATTTCCCTTCCCTCAACAAGTTCTGCTCTTCTACAGCGATGCTTTTTCTCTAGCCTAGAAATACCCAAGTATCACCTATTTGGTGCATGAGTGGATGGTGTGGGGGAAGTTTGCATGCAAGTTCTTTTTCTAGTTCTCGCTTTCCTTTAAGTGCCTTTATTTATTTGTTTGTTTGTTTGTTTATTTATTTATTTAAAGTGTTCTGTTCTCAACTGTATACATTTTTCCATCCACTCCCTCTTTCTTGTCCTCCCTTCCTTCCCCACCCCTTCTCCTTTCTCATTGTGGACTGAAGGAAGCTTTCAGCCTCAGAATCTTCCACATGCAGGTGTGTGCTCTGGGCCTGGCACTCTTGGAAGTCTGGGGTAACTTCTAACCAACATCCCAGGGGCTGACATACATATATGTTGAATAAATCAAACCCGATGGCTTCTGTAAATTCTTCGTCGTGCACTCTTGGCCCTGCAGACCACTTTATTCTGAGTGGAAGTCTCCCCTCCTTGTCTTTGACAGGTACAGTCTTCCCTGCCTCCTCGGCTGGATGTCCTCCTCCCCGACCCCCACCGCCACCAGCACCATTCCCTTACTATGTCCACCCCTGTTCCCTTTCCTCTCCACCTCAGGGAGTTCCTATTCATGTTGTCCATTTTGATGCTTACTTTTTTACAACTGACTTTCACATCTGCACAATCTATCCTTGTGCTTTATCATCCTGCTCCTCCTACTAGCCATGCCTTTCCTCCTATTGGATGGCCAAGCACCAACTCAATGTCAGTCTAGGCCAATTCTCTTCCCCCAAACCAGCTCCTTCCTTCCCCCAAACCAGCTCCTTCCTGATCTCCATTCTGTCAGAGATACTATTATTTCATCACTCACTCCACCCACAACACTCAGCCTTTTTTGGCTTTTCCTTATACTTTGCTCCTCAATAGAGTCTCAAGATCTGTTGCTTTTTCTTCTTTCTTAAATATTTTATTTATTTTTACTTATTTTTTACAGAGAGGGGAAGGGAGGAAGAAAGAGGGAGAGAAACATCAATGTGCAAGAGAAACATTGGACTGTTGCTTCTCTCACCACCTCCCCCTGCCCCACAACTGGGGACCTGGCCTGCAACTAGGCATGTGCCCTGACTGGGAATCGAACCAGTGCCCTTTCAGTTCCCGGACTGGCACTCAGTCCACTGAGCCACACCAGCCAGGCTATTGATTATGCTATTACAGCTATTCTAATTTTTCCCCCTTTCCCCCTCTCTACCCAGTAGCCCCCTTCCCACCAGTAATCTCCCCCTTAGTTCATGTCCATGGGTCATGCATATAAGTTCTTTGGCTTTTTCATTTCCTATGCTGTTCTTAACTCCCCCCTGCCTATTTTGTTCTTATCAAGTGTGCTTCTTTATCCCTGCACCATTTCCCCATTCCCTTCTCCCTCGCCCCAGCTGATAATCCTCCAGATGATTTCTATATTTATGATTCTGTTCCTGTTCTGGTTGTTTGCTTAGTTTGTTTGGTTTTTAGATTCAATTGTTGATAGTTGTGAATTTGTTGCCTTTTTAATGTTCATGATTTTGATCTTTATTTTAAAAAATAAGTCCCTTTACCACTTCCTATAATAATGACTTGGTGGTGATGAACCCCTTTAGCTTTGCCTTGTCTGGGCAGCACTTTATTTACTCTTTCATTCTAAATAATAGTTTTGTTGGATAGAGTAATCTAGATTGTAGGTCCTTGCTTTTCATCACTTGGAATACTTCTTTTTTTTAAAATATTTTATTTATTTATCTTTAGAGGGGAAGGGAAGGAGAGAGGGAGAGAAATATCAATGTATGGTTGCTTCTCATGTGTCCCCTGCTGGGAACTGGCCTGCAACCCGGCATGTGCCCTGACTGGGAATCGAACTGCGATACTCTGGTTCGCAGGCCCGCACTCAATCCACTGAGCTACACCAGCCAGGGCTTGGAATACTTCTTGCCAGTACCTTCTAGCCTGCAAAGTTTCTTTTGAGAAATCAGCCAACAGTCTTACGGGAACTTCTTTGTAGGTAACTATCTGCTTTGTTCTTGCTGCTTTAAAGATTCTCTGTTTATCTTTAACTTTTAGCATTTTATTATGATGTGTCTTGTGGTCCTCTTTGGTTCCAACTTGTTTGGGACTCTCTGTACTCTCTGGACTTATATTTCTACTTCCTGCACCAAAGTAGGGAAGTTTTCTTTAATTGTTTTTTCAAGTAAGTTTTCAATTTCTTGCTCTTTCTTTTCTTCTTCTGGCACCCCTATGATTTGAATGTTGGCATGTTTTGGAGATGACCTACAGGTTCCTAAGCCTATCCTCATTTTCTTTTTTGAATTTTTGTTTCTTCTTTTTGTTTTGGTTGAATGTTTATCTCTTCCTCATGTTCTAAATTGTTGGTTTGTACCCCAGCTTCCTTCTCTTCTCTGTTGGTTTCCTGTGGATTATTCTTTATTTCACTTAGTGTAACCTTCATTTGTTTCTCTATTTCTTTGTTGTACTCAAGTTCTCTGAGCATCATGATAGCCTGTGTTCTGAACTCTGCATCTGATAGGTTGGCTATCTCCATTCTGCTTAATTGTTTTTCTGGGGTTTTGTTTTGTTCTTTCATTTGGGCCTCATTTCTTTGTCTCCTCAATTTAGCAGCCTTCCTGTGTTTGTTTCTGTGTATTAGGTAGAGTACTTTTACTCTCTGTCTTAGTAGTGTGGCCTATGTAGAAAAGGCACTTGTAAATGGTATGGGGGAGAGCCCTAGGTAATTGTCAGGGTTGATTCCTTGCTTCACCACTAAGTGGCTGTGTGGGGAGGTCTTGGAGGGGGGACAATGCTGCCACCTGGCTTCTGGAGATTCTCCTGTGCTCGTTCCATTTCCAGTCACTTCACTCCCTTCCCAAGTGTGACTGGCGCCCTTCCATCTGCTTCCTGGTGCTGAATCCTGGAGTGGGTGGGTTTGTTAATGTTCTAATACTGTACTGGCCCTTTAAGCAGAAAAATCTGGCAGTTTCTTCTGCTGCCTCAACCCCCACTGGTTTTTACAGCCAGAGGTAATAGGGATCTATCTTCCTGGTGCTGGAACCCTGGACTATGTGGTCTGGCCTGGGGCTGGGATTTGTTACTCCTAAGGTATCCCTCCTGGCCATTTCACTGCCTCTGCCACTGCTGCTGCCACCACCACCTTTCAGTGCCACACCACTGAAAGGTGGTAACTCAGTCCCTCCTACTTGTCTGGATGAATGTGTCTTATTTAAATCCTCGGTTGTTTGACTACTACACATCTCAATTTTCTGACAGTTCTGGGTGTTATTAGTTTTGAGATCTGGTTGTAATTCTTTCTATGATTGTGTGAGGAGGACAAGTGTGTCTATCTATGCCTCCATCTTGACCAGAAATCCCATTGCTTCTTCATACCCAGATGACTGCAGCGGACTCTGTCAAGTCATCTGTCCCACTGTTAGTACAGTTCTGTGTTTACTTCCTTTTTTTCTCTCAGATCATCTGAGGTACCTACCTTCCTCATTTGTCTATTGCATTAAGTCTGGACCCCTTTGCCTAATAGTTAAGACCTTTCCTAATTTGGCCCAAGCTGCTTTTTTAGGTTTCTGTCACTTTGTACTCCAGGGCCATTCTCCCTAATGTTCCCTAAGCATCACACCAGCTTTGCAGCCCAGAGCCCTCAACATTCTGTCCATGATCCTCATCCCTGCCCTGTAACATGGTCCCCAGTGCATGCATGCCTGAACGTGCCTGGCTCTCCTACACATGTCATCATTTCTTAGATTCCTTGCTGCCTCCTTCTCACTTCTCCCAATCCCCCACACTCCTGAAGACACAGTTTAAACTTTGTTTTCCACCTTGAAAACCTGCCCTGCCCATTTCACACTACAGAATTAATGTTAGCCATACCACCCGCTTGGCACTTATAATCTATAATTTGGTATTGACAGTGATCTTTTTAGAAGTTCACATCTTGTCTCCACAGTTTGCAAGCTGCTTGAAAACAGGTTACTATGGGCATATGTCCTACAATTCCAGGGCAGTTTAGTTTTTAAATACCCTGTTCCATAGCTTCATGCAGTCATCAAAATGCCCTGGAATTCCCATATTTGGCATTGAACACATCTTGCTGGTTCTGAAGGAGAAAAACTTGTTACAGGAAACAGGCCTGGAAGAACAAGACGACCTAGAAAGCCGTAAACCAAAGAGACCGGGTATCAGCAAGACCAGAACTTACCAAGGTCAAACACAAAAGAAATCAGGAAAATAGGTAAAGATTTAGACAGGTGTACAGTGTCATTCAGCATCTAAATCTGAAAACATCTAAAGCTTAACATCTGCCTGGGTGTACGGTTGACAGGGATCTTGTGACTAGGACTTCCTTTAGTCCAGAATTGATGGGAAAAAAAGTATTTTTGACAGGATATCACCCATTCCCCCCCCTTAGGAAATAGAACTCTTTCTTATGTAGATTTTTGTATCACTCAATAGGTCACATAGCTGCTTCTCAAAAAGCTAGGCCTAGGACCAGATCTGCTGACTTTAAATTGGACTATGGAGCTCCTGTGTTGAGATA